TAGGCACCCTGGACTTGATCCTATCAAAAAATCTTTGGAGCCTCGAATCATCGCCTTCCCTAAGATTCAAAGCAACCCAACTCAATCCCAAATACCTTGAACTTGGTTCTAGGTAGAATCGCGAGCACATGGAACTCGATATCATTTTAAATTGAGAATTTTTCAAACTCGACTTGACTCTCCAAATACGGACAAAATAGTGTGAAACCAATTTTAAAAACTTTTGAAAATTATTTTTTCCAAGAGTTTTCAAAACTTGTTGCAAATTTTATTTTATATAAAAAAAAACATGTTTTTCATATCTTGTTTGGTGGTTTTTAAAACTGATTTTTTAATATTATCATCGTATGTTTTAAAAGTCAAATCAAATTAGAAAGCTAAGAAATGGAACGCCCACCATGGGGCTCGAACCCATGACCACAAGGTTAAGAGCCTTGCGCTCTACCAACTAAGCTAGATGGGTCGGGTTGCTTGTTGGAAGTGTAGCACTATTCAATATTTAAATATGACACAACGTATGGTTACTTAAATTCGGGAATTACATTCCATACTCCGTAGTTTGATAATTTGCTTGTTGAAGTTGCTTCGTTGACATTACTTCTTTCTATATATTAATTTTCGGTGCTTGGGCAATGGAAGTCTTAACTTTGAACATCGAAGTTGCTCTCCATTTAACACATTTAGATCTCCGTACCTATATTTTTTAGGTCTTTTGTATGAGCTGAATCGGAGGACATGATATGTATTTTGGTTGACCATCCGACTTCTTAGGTTGATTTTTTAAGAGTTAGACGAATTTGGAGTTTTATATACAAAAAATTGAATTTTGAATTTTTTATTAAAAATATATTCCGGGATCCGAATAAACATATAATATTATTTAAATTTTACAAGTAACTATTTATTCTATAAATAATTAACCCTAAACCCTGTTTATTCTATAAATAATTAACATTAATAAATATTATTTTTTATCATTCAATTTAGATAAATATGTTGAAATTCGATTTGAAAAAAAAACGAGGTTTTCACTTGGAATTACTTTTCTCTTTAGCGATTGCCCCATATAAACACACACACACACACACGTGAGATCTTTTCTTTTTAGATTAAAGTTATTTAACAAGTTTGTGGAGAAAATTAATTTATTAGATTTACGTAAATTTATAATCTATCTACGCAATTACCTCAAAATTTAAACTAAAAAACAAAACTTCGGGAAAAAACATAATGTATGCTAATAGGTTATAGGAGATTATTTTGGTTACCACAAGTTAGCTCAAAAAGTCATTGGAGCTTAATAAATCAACAAAAACCAAAAAAGATTATGGAATAAAATAACTTTGTTCAATTAACGAGTGAGATTTTTAATACAACATTGTGTGATATGGATTGGCTGGAGATTTATCAAATATCCGTCGAGTTTCAACAAAATTTTTTGAGTTATTACTTTTAACCACCGATCGACTTTCTCTATAACGCCTCCACACATAATACTCGGACACAAAATCATATATTATCAAATGGTACTTAACTCGTATCTAGATCTTCATAAGTACGGTTCTAACACTTTTTGAATTTATAAGGATGTCTTATCTTATTTTTGTCCATACACTCAAGATGACTAATGGCAAAATCAATAAATTCATTTACCTCATCTAAGAAACCTTGATTTAAAAGACCATCGGTATATTTATAGTCGATCCATAAATAATTCGAATTCATAATTATTTTAACACATAAATAAATCAATTAACACCTAATCAATTTTTTTAAACAATATTTAAATAATTAAATTAAAAACCAATAAACTTAATTTAACCACTAAATAAATTAATTGAAACCAATTAGTTAAACTAACACCTAATTAAAATTTTTAATCAATTAAATAATTAATTAACAACTAAATAACCCAATTAAGACATAATTAATTAAAATAACAACTAATTAATTTTTTAAATAATTTTGTAATATTCTAATTAAAACTAATTGACTTGATTTAACAACTAAAAAACTTAATTACCAATCAAATTGATTAAACTTACACATAATTAATATTTTAAAAAAATTAATTTAATTTAATCAACAACTAATTTACTTATTTTAACAACCAAAAAACTTAATTAACTACCAAATTGATTAAACTAACATGTAATTAAATATTTTAAAAAAATTAATTAATTTAATTAACAACTAATTTACTTATTTTAACAACTAAAAACCTTAATTAAATCCTAAATTGATTAAACTAACGGACAATTAAATATTTTAAAAAATAATTGATTTAACTAACAAGTAATTTACTTATTTTAACAACTAACAAGCTTAATTAACTACCATATTGATTAAACTAACACGCAAGTAAATATTTTTAACAGACATTTAATTAATTTAATTAACAATTAATTTACTTATTTTAACAACTAAAAAACTTAATTAAACATCAAATTGATTAAACTAACACTTAAGAAATATTTTAAACAAAATTTAATTAATTTAATTAACAACTAATTTACTTATTTTAACAACTAAAAAGCTTAATTAATTAGCTACCAAATTGATTAAACTAACACCTAATTAAATTTTTTGAACAATATTTAAAATTTTTAATTAACAACTAATTTACTTATTTTAACAACTAAAAAACTTAATTAACTACCAAATTGATTAAACTAACATGTAAGAAAATATTTTAAACAATATTGAATTAACATATAATTAATTAAATAACAAATAATTAATTCTTTAAAAAAGTATTTTAATGTTTTAATTCACAATTAATTGACTTAATTTAATAATTAAAAAACTTAATTAACAACCAAATTGATTAAACTAACACACTGATCATTTTTTGAACAATATTTAAATATTTTAATTAACAACTAATTTGGTTATTTTAACAACTAAAAAACTTAATCAACAACCAAGTTAATTAAACTAACACTTGCTTAATATTTTTTAAAAAATGTTTAAATATTTTAATTAACAAATAATTAACTTAATTTAATAAATATGGAACTTAATTAACATCTGTTTAATTAAAATAACAAATAAATAATTTTTTAAAGCAATTAAATAATTTAATTAACCACTAATTAAATAATTTAATTAACCACTAATTAAATTAATTTAATCAACACATAATTAATTAAACTAATACCTATTAAATTTTTTAAAACAATTAAAGTATTTAATTACCAACAAATAAAATTAATTTAATTAACAACTAAATCAATTAATTAATATGTAATTAAATAAACTAACACTTAATTATTTTTTTAACAAATGGTTAATTTAACTAACAACTAACAAATTAACTTTAACAAGCACAAAAATTTAAACTAACTAATAATTAACAAATAAATAATAAAACAACAAATATAATTTTATTTAAATAAATGATTAAAAAAACTAAGAGTTACCAATTACACAAATGAAGGAGGAGTGCACGCCAACTCACAATGAAGAAGAGGAAAAGTTGCTACTGCTACACTATTCACAAAGAAGAGGAGGGAAGGGAGCAGGATAAGAAAAGGAGAGAAAGAAGAAGAAAATGGAGATGGAGGGAAAGAAGAAAAGAAGAGAGAAAGGGAGTTTGGAGGGAGTCTGCTGGACAAGAAAAAGAAGAAGACAAGATGGGAAAAAATTTTGGACAATAGCTATTTAGGGATTTTAAGTTTTAGGGACGGTTTTGGTTCATTGCTAAAACCTAAAACCGTTGATAAAACTTTTTTTTTGTTGAAATTTTTGTTTTTATCCAATGGTAATAAATTAGCGACAATTTTCATAAAACCGTTGTTAACATCGATGTTTAGTGACGGCTTTAAAAAAAAAATCGTCGCTAAAACCCTATATTTTTAGGGGTTTTAGCTTAAGGATTTTAGCAATAGTTTATTAAAAATTGTCGCTAAAATCACTCGAAAAAAAGAGTTTTTTTTTTTTTTTATAGCATGGTTTCCATAAAACTATCGCTAACAATCAACATCCGACACAAAATTAGTTAGGGTTTGCTAAAAACCATCGCTAATTCATGATTTTGCGATGGATTTAAATACCGTCGCTAAAAACCGTAACAAATCGCCTATTTTCTTGTGGTGTCTTATATATATATATATTCAATAAATTTGAGTGGGATAAACATTTGCCACGTATTAGTGGATCCCATCATGTCAATATCATTCAATTTCAAGTGATTGAAAGAATTCAAAAAAAATAAAAATCAAATGCTATACATTTAAACGGAAAGTATATGACCCTAGGTATTTGGCTTTCTTTCAAAAGGTTGATATTAGAGGGAACAAAAAACATAGAGGGGCTTCTTGTTTTGATGATTGGGAAAATACTATTGTTTATCAAGTTTCTTAAAGTTTTTAAGACGGTTATATTGCCATTTTCTAGTTCTTTGCATGTGACATCCAATAATATATATATTAAATAGACTCTATGTATATAATAATATCTCAATATTGTAAAAAAGAGGATCACTTATTGAGTGGAATGACAACAAATATGATGGTTAAGTGTAAGAGTAATTGAGGGAGTCAAGTGTTAAGGTATGGGGACCGATGTAAAGATACTTTTTAGTTTAATATGCTACGCAAAATGAGTACAACGGTATATATAGGCCTCTAAGTTTGTTTTTATTATAACTCTAGTTGTTCACACTATAAGTATAGACACTATTTTTTATTTTTATTTTGTATGTGTAGCTGATTGAAAAACATAAAAATTTATAATGTAATAGTAAAATAAGCACATTATCTAACCATGTAAATTTTATATCATATGATTACTATTGCATTTCTACTTTGTTTTTTTCTCAATTTCAAGTAAAAAATATATTATTTCTTGTAAGTGGTGGTTGTTTTGAATCCTCGTTATAAGATGAATCATGTAAAATTTTGTTTTAGCCATGTTTATGAAACTGAAGCTAATTTGAGTGGGACAACTTGTTGATACTTTACGACCTATTGGTATTGCAACTTGTAGTTGAAATGAACCTTATGTAGAGATGATTGTTGGTGAGGTTGAGGATGAAAAGCACAATATCTTGGCTTCCCAATGTCAAAAGCACTCGATGGTGGAGAATTGTGTGGGGAGCAAATCTAAGGTGAAGACATATTTGACGGATAGATGGGAGAATCGCGGAGATTGTACCTTTTAACATATGGGGTTAGTGGAGACTTAAACAACTCCGTGTATCGAATTCTTTACATCGTAGCATAAGGGCAAATCTAAGCTTTTAGCAACAATGGTCTTACGTACACTTGATCAATTTCAAAGTTCTTTTGAGTCCTTTGACGATGCGAGCTCTAGTTTGTAGCCAAAATTGGTTGCGTTCTTTACTACCAACCGACCTTCACCAAGCACCGATGATGTTGAAGCCTACGAAAAAAATTGGGTCGGGTAATTTGTTATAAAACTACAATTTATTACTTACAAATAATCTCTTTAAGCCATGATGAATAGAGAAATTATTTATTTATTTTTTCAAAGCTCGTAATGCGTTAATTTTGCAGATTATATAACTGCTTGCTATATTGGATTTTCTTCATTGGATAATTGAATTTAGTTATTGACTTGCTTTATTGTTGGATATGCTAGATCCTACGGTTATTGGTTCTTCAAACCACTTTATAGTTGTTTTGATTGTTGCGGCTACTCGGGGGCGGACCCATGTTCAAGTCTACGGGGCCCCGGCCCCACTCTAAAATTTGCTCTCTCTGTAGCTACTTGAAAATGTTACATTTACACAAGATGGTAATAGGTCGAGTCAACTTTTTGGCCTCCCCGGCTTATTGCGTCCTTGTTTTGGACTAGTCTTATTATTGTATAATCATTTGATTTTAGGTTTCTATTTGGGCTATTTTTTTAAAGGTATAAAGATTTAATAATTTCGATCTAAGATTACAATAGTAAATTATAAAACAGTCCATCTATTTTTTAAAAATTATTTATTCTTTTGACTAGTGATCATATTTAATTTACTTTATTTATTTCAAAAAATGTTATTATTTTCATTAACTCTTCTATATATAATAATAATTATTATTATTTTAAGATATAATGATTTAATAATTTTGATTTAAGATTACTATAGTAAATTATAAAATAGTCCAAACATTTTTAAAAAATTATTTAGTTTCTTGATCTGGTGATCATATTTAATTTGCATTATTTTATTTCAAGAAATGTTATTTTTTTCATTAACTCTTATATATATATATTCCTTAAATATTAAATTACAAGAAAATTTAAAATATAGAAACTAAATAATTTGTTTTTGGAACAAGAAGAACTAATCAATCCATTTGTTTTTTTTTTAAAAAAAAACTAGATAGACTAACTTAAAATTTACTCAAGATTACTAATACTATTATATCTGATTTGTATCGAAGGTTGATGAAGACAAAAAAATTTAAAAGTTATCTACTTATGTATAGAGTGATAACATTTATTCTTACTCTATCGACTTCTACGACTACTACGAAACGATCATTTTCAGCTATGAGTATAGTTAAGACTAACCTTCATAATAAAATGAAAGATAATTTTCTTTTCGATTGTTTGTTAGAGTATATTGAAAAAAAATTACTGAAAATTTTAGTATAAATTCGTTTATAGATAATTTTCATGACTTGAAAGAACAAAAATTATTATTTTAAGATTATTTTAAAATAAATATTGATATATTATTTATAATATATATAAATTTATGTAAAATATGATAAATTTATAAATATTTATTTTGATCCGTTAATATTTGATTTTGTTTACGTCGCTGCTGCTGCTGTCACTTTTGTGATTGTTAGTTATTTTGCCTAAAGGTGTACGAAAGCTATCGAAGGATGACTTGTGTTTATCCAAAATCTTATTACATGTCTACTGTTGGAAGTTGGAACACTGTCATGCGTTTCAACTTCGAAAAATGACTTCTTGAAATTCATACACATATAGTGGGTACTGAGATAGTATTATAGGACATTCTTTGTTATAGGGTTATGAAACACAAAAAGATTTTATTTGTTGGTGACAGTCAGGTGGTCAGCGGATTTTTGTTGCTCTCCAAAGAGATTTTGGATTAACAAGCTTCGTGTCAATTATATATTATTAATTATCTATTAACAAACGTCATATAAATAAAAATAAAAATTACCTAAATTTTTTAAAGTTAATAATTATTAAATGCTAATTTTGGTTTTTAAATAATTTTATAAAAAAATTAATAATTTTTTATTGGATTAATCCATTACATATCATTAATTATCCGACAATAAAAATCAAATCCATACATAACAAAATTATTTAAACTTTTTTTAAAGCTACCATTACTAAATATTTTTTAAAAATTAATTTTAATTTAAAAAACTAAAATAATAATATGTTAATAAAAAAAATAACAAAAAAAGTATTAAAAAATAATAATTTGAGTCTAAATAGTTTAAAATAATAATATACACTTTATTTTATCACTAGTTCAACAGTTGAGGAATAAGCTATGCCGTTAAACCACTGGAAAACAGGATTCGCTGTCGTTGCCTCTCCCAAGGTTTTTGTCAGAATAAGAAAATAAACCCCAACGCAAACCTCTTTCTCGTCATTCACCACGTACCTTCATAATCTTAATTTTCCAAAAAATAAATCCCCAAATCTCACCTCTCCATTCTATCCAAATCAACGTCGGAAAATCCGCCACGTAATTAAACCACGTTTTAATATTCCTACTATAAAAAATAAAAATATCTCTTTCTCTCTCTGAAAGGAAAGTCCCCCTCCTCTCTCTGTCTGGTCATGATTGCCTTCTTCCGTGTCAACAGCAACAGATCCCTAATTGGAAAAAGGAATACCTAGTTCCTCTTTCGGTTTAAACGATTCGATCCTGCAATTCTCAATTTTTCGATCAATTCTCGCACTCTCTCACGGCGTCGTTTCGATTCTGTGCTGTGATTGTTCTTGATTTGATCAATTGTGATTTTTTCTTGATTCTTACTGGCCTTTTGAACTCGTGGATGAGAATTGGAATCAAAGAATGAACGATGCCGGTGCTGCGTGGTAAATCGCAGAAAGGCCGGGGAGGAGCGGCGGCGGCAGCAGCAGCAGCAACACCGGAGCCACAAAAGAAACAGAAGAGGCAAAAGACGCAGAAGAAGAATCCAGTGGAAGTGGTAGAGCCGATTGCGACGAGGACAAGGAGAAGGCGGGCAGCAGCTGAGGCGGCATTGGCATCGCCTAAAAGTAACGATAAGGAACAGAAAACGGGCAATGAGAGGGTAGTAGTGGGTGTGGGTCGTATTGTCTCGGGGGCGGTGAAAGAGGAGGAGGATAAAAGGGATTTAGAGGTTGGTGGAGAAAAGAAGCGGATGGACGTGTTAGATAGTGGTGGCAAAAGTAATGATAAGCCACTTCCTGCCGGCGGTGAAGATGAGGGAACCACTTCTCCTATTCCCGACCAGGTTCTTTTTTGTTTATTCTCAATTTTAATTGCAAGTTAAATTTACTGATTTGAAAGTTGCTTGATGGTGATCGCTATTGTCATTGTGATTAGAAAGGGATTTTTTTTTTTTTTTAGAAATTGTGATTCTTGAAGTTGTGGTCTTGTGTATTTTATGTAGTGATTATATTATTATCCACTATATGTGATTTTGATTGAACAATCAGATAGTAATAGTTAATGGCATATGTGTTCTGATCATATTGTTTAAAATTCTGTTGATTTCTATATGGGATTGAGACCATTGTAGAAACATGTTTTTGCTGGAATGCTACATGTTCAATCCAAAAAATCGTTTTTTTTTTTTTGCCAAGTCTTGAAATTTAGCTATGCCAAGACGGAATCTTTTTAGTTTTCTGAGATATTTTTTAGAGGAGGGTTGCTGAATTTTTTAGTTTTCTTAAAGATTTCTTGAAAAACTAGAAAAGTATTGGAAAGATGTGTTTTCTAAATATAATTTTCTTTGTATAAATTGGAAAAGTGCAAGAGTTTTGCAGAATTTTCACTTTGAAAAAAGGGCTTCGTCTTGTTTCAAGTAATGCTGTTGTTTTATATCTTGGAATTGATATTCGGCATATGTGTTCTGTTTATTTTTTCAATTAAAAAAAAAAAAAAGAATTATGAAAATAGATCAGAGGAATGCAGAAGAAAAGTGAAAACTACTTCGCAAAAGTAGGCACACTGCTCCCTCTAGCCCTTTAAATGTGGGACAATGCCCTTTAATGTTTCTCACAAATGAAATTCTCTGTTGGATGGCAGAATATAAGAAAAGAAAGTTTAAGATTCAAAACTGGAATATTTAATATAACTTTCAAAAGTTTGAGGTGGAGAAATTATTAAGTATTCCCGGTATAGTGCTCCCTCACTCACATAAAGTGCCATCTGTGGGATCCACTTAAGTGAGTGTGGAGCATTGCACAGGGAGTACCTAACAATGTCAATTTGGGATGAATGAAAGAAAATTTGGGAAAGATGTTGTAGTATATTGGGCCCAATTTGTGAAGTAGAAAGCAGCAGTTGAATGTACCACTTGCCATATTGACTAGCTTGTTTAATTAGATATAAAATTCAGATGTTTCTATATTTCTCCACTAGTTAGTACCTGTACATAAAATTTATGATTGCCAACAAATGAACGAAAACAAATTAGAATTAAAAAATGAAATACCAATCAGCTATTAAGGAAAATCAACCAATCAACTATTAAAGAACATCAAGGGTTATTAGGAAACAAATTGGTGGAGAGAAAGTTTAGCGAAAGTTTAATTCTGGTATTCATGTATTGTTGATTAAAAGTTCCTTTTAATCTGAATACCTCGATCTTTCTGTGACTAATTCACTGTTATTACAAAGTCAAATTGCTATTCTATTATCAGGAATTCGCATGAGTTGGAGTGCTAACATAACAACTTTGGTGTGTACCTCTGCAAGTAATCGTTTGTTCTGATTATGCAACTTGTGTTTTTCATCTGTCAGCAAGGTGTCAAGACCCTATTTTTGTGGGATTGTTTCAAAAATGGATTAATCGCACGATTCGTCCCTGTACTCTTTAGATTTTCTTAATGTGGTCCTCTATTCATTTTTTTATTTATCACGTCCCTCTATTCTAGACGTTTTCTTAACGTGACCCCTCTAATAGGATTCCGTCAAATTTTCTGGTAGCAAGTGACACATGGTCTGACATCCATATAAACATGACAAAAAATTGAATGGAAAATGCAGATGGTGGAGAGAGAATGGTTCTTTTGGGTAGATGATACTAGTTTGATTGGAGATTAAGGAGAATTAGGTTTGTTGCAAATTTTGGTAGCTGATACTAATTTGATTCGAAGATTAAGAAGAATTGGGTTTGTTGAACCTTTATCATTTTCTCTCTCCCCTGTAGAACCATCTTCAATTGGAGACTTTAAATGTGCAAAATGATAAAAGTTGCAGGGGGAAATTAATTGGAGACATTAAATTTGCTAGCTCTATGACAAAGGTTCGTTTTGGTCTGTATTTTATTGGAGATGAAGGAGAGTAGAATGGAGGAAAAGAAGGAGGATGCGTATGGTGGAGAGAGAAAGTAGTTGAACTGTAGTAATTTGACCATTTCATCCATGAAAACCACCATCAAATGAAGATCACATCACGAGTTACATGGAGGTTTTAGGTTACTGTAGAAGTGATTTGTGCTGGGTTGATTTGTGGATGATTGTTGTGGCAAAGGGTTAATGAGTTTGTGGGTGATGTCCCTGTTGCTTGAAAATTGAAAACAACCATTAACCCAGATTTTGAAGATCTTTTTTAAGTTTCCTATGAGATCAAAAGAAATTTTTAATTGAAGAAATCCCTGTTTTGTTTGATTGTTTCTATGGAGATCAGGTTTGATGATCATTGAAATGATGTATGTAAATGCCAGGACTGTGATTATTTCCTTTCTTCTTCTTTTCAATTAATTATTCTGTCCTTTTTTTTCTTTTTTGAAATTTAATGTTCATGCCTTCTTTTTGCACAAATTTTTAAATACAAGGACTGATTATTTCCTCTCTTCCCAAATTTTTAATAGTTCATGCACAACTTATTGTTTTTTCTTTATTGATTGTCAGATTGGTTTTTAACTAAAGGAGAGAAAAAGTTATGTTCAAATATTTTCAAGATCATTTGATACCTAAAAAGATTATATATATATATATATTCTGTTTCTTTTATTAATTTCTATTGATTTTTCTGGGTTTTTTTGCCACTTGTCAATTTCATATAACGTGTCATTCCACGTGTCACTTTTATCTGACGTGTAATGCCACCTGTCACTTGTTACGGGAAAATTAGATGGAATCCGGTTGGATGGATCATATTAAGAAAATATCTAGAGTAGAAGGGTCACATTAAGAAAATCTAAAAAGCGCCGGGATGAATCATGCAATTAATCCTTCAAAAAATCAATGTCTGTCCTTGGTGAATGCAGTTCATTGTGAATTTTCATCATGTTTTTGTTTTCTTGTTGTACTAGTTATTCCTCTTTTGATTGTGCATTTCACTATTTCTACAAGGGCTTTAGAATCGGAAGAATGCTATCTTTTTCTACCATTGATGGCAAGCATATTTTCAGCTGCTTTTGTAGGCAGATTGTTGTCTGCATTTATCAAATACATTTCTAGTGTTTTTTCCTTTTTGGTCTCTGTGGCAACATTCTTTAGCTCCCTCCTTGCTTCATTTTTGTCATTCCTAATAATTCACATCATTAGAAGAGATGATTTTTTTTTTTTTAAACACATTGCCTTTACATTGTGCCTATGTTTTCATAGAAAGGATAAGACTTTTTTCTGAACAACCTCAATACTTTTCTCATTCGCTTAAAGTCAAATGTTCTTTGGTTTGCCAGGAAGCACTTCATTGCTACTCTGTCTAATCCATTTGCAGTCTCTTTTTCTTTTTCTTGTTATTTTGTTATTTATTTATTTATTTTAACTTTGGATCTGCCTGATGTAAGCACGGATTGGGTCACTAAAATTAATGTGGTAATTTAGGAGGCGACATTAAGAAGTTACAGTGTTGTCTGTTCATGATGCCATTGGTTAAGTACCTATATTGGGATAGTCTTCCTTAAAATTACCTTTTCAGAGCGTAAAATTGTAATGTGTTTAGACATTTAGAGAAAGAAATGATATGACCATTTTGTGCATGCTGCAGGCTGCTGAATTATGGCAGTATTTTAATCAGTTCCCCCCTTTACTTTTTTCCCTTTTTCTGGGAATCTCTTGCGGATGAATGTAAATTCTTGGCTATGGTGCTGCAGGTTCAGGTTGAGGATTCCCCAGTGTACAAAGTAGAAAGAAAGTTGGGAAAGGGTGGCTTTGGTCAAGTCTATGTTGGCCAACGTGTTTCTGCTGTAAATACAAATGATAAAGCTGGTGCAGGAGCTGTAGAGGTGTAGTTTTTTTCTTATATGTCTGAATGATTGTGTGATCTGATCATTCATCTCACTGTTTTATTCTATCACCCCTGAACTTTGGGTTTTAGGTGGCACTAAAATTCGAGCATAGAAGTAGTAAAGGATGTAATTATGGACCACCGCATGAGTGGCAAGTTTATGAGTGAGTATTTGATTATATCTATCATGCTTTCTTATGACTGTTGCGTATTGATAATACATATTCGAATCCCTTTTTTTGGAGCGATAATTATGAATCCATCACCTTTTGTCCTTTGCACAGCACTCTTGGTGGCAGTCATGGTGTACCACTAGTACACTATAAGGGTCGGCAAGGTGACTATTATGTCATGGTATGCTATCTTTGGCTTTTGTTGCTGGCTCAATACTGACGGATCTCTACAGCTCTATTTTCTCCTGGTTTCAGAATTGTTTCTAACAGCAAACCCTAATGTGCGTAGGTTATGGATATGTTGGGTCCAAGCCTGTGGGATGTTTGGAATAACAATATCAACTCGAACCTGTGAGATCAATTGTTTTTTTTTTTTTTTGTCCATTATTTTGTCTTTTATGCCAAACTTTGCTAAATTAAGCCATGGTCTTATTTACAGAATGTCAACTGAAATGGTTGCATGTATTGCCATTGAAGCTATGTCCATATTGGAAAAGATGCACTCCAGAGGGTAAAAGTTCTTTGTTGCACATGTCTTATTGCTCTCTCATTTTTATTTTTGATAAGATGAATTGGATTGGTTTGGTCTGGCTTTTGGATTGGAAGATATACACTTCTGTTTATGGAACCATTAGTTGGTTAGTTGTGTTAAGAGTGGTTAATCTTTGAATTTAACTGTCATATTCTCAAATTAAAAATATGTGATTCTCAGACTAGATCACAACAAAATTTTGCAGTTATGTCCATGGAGATGTAAAGCCTGAGAATTTTCTGCTCGGTCCTCCAGGAACTCCTGATGAGAACAAATTATTTCTTGTTGATCTTGGATTGGGTAATTTGAGAAATGCCATTTTCATCTCTTAACTTTTAGCCTTTGCTTTTTGGTATTCTGGCACAACTGTCTTCCATTGAACCACAATTTTCTGAATTGTTCTTGTCATTCAGCTACTAGATGGCAAGATAGTTCAACTGGGTTGCATGTTGAGTATGACCAAAAGCCAGATGTTTTCAGGTCTGACTCTTGGTTGTATCATTGTTGGTACTAAGAAAGTAATTGAATTACGGAATATTTTTACTGTCTTTGGATTTCCTTTATTTAATTTTTTCTTGATTGCTTTGTGATGATTTTGTTTGGGCAGGGGAACAGTCCGTTATGCTAGTGTGCATGCCCATTTAGGGAGAACTGGCAGCAGGAGGGATGATTTGGAATCGCTTGCTTACACTCTTATTTTTCTTCTCCGTGGTCGTTTACCTTGGCAAGGGTACCAGGTAGGTCCTTTTTCTTAGCTTGGGTTAAATGTTTGCCTCTTCTGGTTCACTTGTGCAGAACAATTAACTCAAAGTTCACTTATTTGGCTTATTTATTTAACATTATGGTGTTCTTAGGGAGAAAACAAGGGGTTTGTCGTTTGCAAGAAGAAGATGGCAACAACCTCAGAAGCGCTCTGTTGCTTCTGTCCACAACCTTTCAAACAGTTCATTGAATATGTCGTGAACTTAAAGTTTGATGAAGAACCTAATTATGCAAAATGCATTTCCCTCTTTGATGGAGTTGTTGGTACAAATCCAGATATGAGGCCACTTAACACAGAAGGTGCTCAGAAGGTGCATGGGATATTCCTTTTTTGTTGGAGCTGTTAGTTTTTTACTCTTACGTTGGACATATTGAGCTTTTAACTTTTTTGTTGGAGCTGTTAGTTTTTTACTCTTACGTTGGACATATTGAGCTTTTAACTTTATTTTAATGAACTAGTGACCTGTACTTTTGATCTCGTGAAGCTTATTTATCAGATTGGTCACAAGAGAGGCCGGTTGGCTATGGAGGAGGAAGATGATGAACAACCAAAGAAGAAGGTTCGTATGGGCATGCCAGCAACGCAATGGATTAGTGTGTACAATGCACGCAGACCAATGAAACAAAGGTATAAACTATGCCTCAAGTCATTAGTTGTTACTTAGCAATTTTTCATTCATTCAATTGGTCACTGTTTTGATTCTTTTTTGCACTGTGGATCTTTTATTGATTTTCTAATATTTTAAAGTTTCACGTTCTTGTGCTTATTCGGTATGATCTCTGTATCGTGTTGTTAGGACATAAAATTGATCAAATTAACTCAAATTAGGTGAGTTTGATAACTTTAACTTGCTTTCTTAGGTATCACTATAATGTGGCTGATGCAAGGCTTGGCCAGCACATCGAAAAAGGAAACGAGGATGGCTTATTTATTAGCTGTGTAGCTTCATGTCAAAATCTATGGGCCATTATTATGGACGCTGGTACAAATTACTCTGCACAAGTCTATGAGCTCTCACCATTTTTTCTTCGTAAGGTACATGCTTGTATCTTTTGATCTACCTGAAGCATTTGTATCACTGTCATTCTAAATTTGTTCTGGTTCTTTGGAGAGTTAAGTTGCTCCTTGACATAAGTTCTAAACATGTATGGTAACAATTAAATTATTTTGTTTGGTTGTGTGAAGGAATGGATAATGGAGCATTGGGAAAAGAATTATTATATCAGTGCCATAGCTGGTGCCAATAATGGAAGCTCATTAATAGTAATGTCTAAAGGTCAGTCTAAAGTGTTTGAATTTTTGGTTTTGTGCCTCTCTGCTTCAATTTTGTATGACTTGTTGTATTCCTTCTGAGTTCAGGTACTAGTTATATGCAGCAGTCTTATAAAGTTAGTGATTCATTTCCTTATAAATGGATTAATAAAAAATGGAAGGAGGGCTTTTATGTCACTGCGATGGCCACCTCAGGGAGTAGATGGGGAATTGTAATGTCCCGTGGTGCAGGATTTGCAAAGCAGGTAATCTTTGATCTTCAGATATTGTATTCTAATATACTGTAGGGTGTGTAGGCTTAGACCGCAAACTAATTCTACATATTAATTTCAGGTGGTCGAACTTGATTTCCTTTATCCTAGTGAAGGCATACATCGAAGGTGGGATTCTGGATATCGTATCACGGCAACTGCAGCTACTTGGGACCAGGCGGCTTTTGTTCTAAGTGTGCCGAAAAGGAAACCTACAGATGAAACCCAAGAGACCCTTCGAACCTCTGCTTTTCCTAGCACTCATGTTAAGGTTTCTGTGTATCTTTACATAGCATCAATTTTTTCTTCAATACTGATTCATGTTTCAAGATCTAAAATTTGAGATGGGCTTTGCAGGAGAAATGGGCAAAAAATCTATATATCGCGTCTATGTGTTATGGAAGAACGACATCATGAGCTGTGTCTTGCCTGCCTCCCCTTGTGACACCATTTAAACCATGATGGTTTTGTGAAGTGGCATTCATTTATAGGTGTAGAGAAATTTTGATTAGCATATAGGCTGTTGTCAATTTTAATCAAAAGTATAGAAGCTTTAGTTCGACCTCAAGTCGTGCCTGTCAACCTGTGAAACTAAGTGGGCTCTCTTTTGCTGATGTATGCAATGGAGCAAAGCTCAGGGCGATGGCACCATGGCAGTGCCTCTATTTAACTTTGTACAGTTTTTAATAATAGGCACTCTGATTAGGGCAATATGTAAAAGTTACGTTTCTAGTTGGGTTTGGATTGTTCATTTTTATCTGGGAAGTTATTGGTATTTGTTTTTCTACCCATGCTTACTCAAATGCATTAGATGTGAATCCTATACAATTTCAGGTTTGTTTCAAAACTATTCGTAGGAAGTTGGATTCTTGGCACCTTGGACAAGATAAATTGTCAAGTATTTTGTCCAAGTATCAAATCTAATGGTTATTCACTTGAAATGTTAACATTTGATTTTAGTTTCAAAACTATTACAGGGTCGCTATATACCGCTCATTTGGGTTTTAGTTCTTTAGCAAATCTGTAAAGATGACAACGTACCTGGCAATAATAACTTCGCTAACAATGCAATAAGGGCAAATACAATTGATTATGGTGGTAAGCAGGATAAAGCAAAATCAAGTTAAGAAAAAATTTATGCTTGTCTAATTATGGTTTTGTTTTAAGTTTAGGATAAATTAGTAAACACATTGTTTGGATTACTTTATGAATACCAGTATTTTCTGTTATATGATGACAACAATAGATTACAAAGAACATACTAGGCACAATTCCTTTCACAAAGAGAGTTGCAATTTTCACCTCTCATCCTGGTGCACTGCGTGAGAATCTATGGCGCTGGTCTGCAACATAACCTATCAAACTGAACTTTTTCCTGGTGTATCAAATGACACCAAAGTCTGACATCAGTTTTATAGCTTTTCGACAGCCAAGAGGAAAGAAGAGGATGAGTAATGGTATGTAATTCTAAAAGGTCAGGGACACAAGCAGGTAAGCATATGCACCCACCCACATGAGAAAGTATGTATTACCTCAATGCTGTCATGATCATAGCGAACTACAAAGGTGCACTTGCAGCCATTTATATTGTGTAATCGCCTGTTGATCTCCACAACATGGGCGTCGCAGTAGACTGCTCGTTCTTCTCTTTCCTGAAAATCATGCACGAGCCAAAAGCTAAGACAGTGCTAAATTACTAATGTCTAAAGGTCTTAGGCTATAGGACTAACATAAACTCGAAAAAAAAAAATTAACTAGTTCTATTTCAAAGATGGGTGTGCCTCCTGCTGATTCAGGTGCTTGCTAAAAAAACTACATTAGCCTAGATGCAAATCATATCCATTCTTAACAAGTGGTATAATGGCAGGTGATATAATGGCAGGTGATCATAGCTGAAATCATTTTAAAAATAGAACGGAGGTGAGTCTGATCCAACATTTCCTAATTAAATAAAGTACTTGTGCATATGAACGAATGTGTGCCTCTGTCGACCTTTGAGGAGGCCTGTGACTTGCAGAAGTGATTGGGTTCATAATTCCATTGGAGGAAAGGAGGATTTTGAGCTATATGGATTCATGGCTGTAACAGAAATGGACATGATGTATGAATTGATAGTGCATGCATGAAATGGGAAGATTGGACTCCGCCTGTGCCAATGAAATGTCAATAATAAGATAATACTAGACATTTAAGTTTCATAGGGAAGAAATTGTACTTGTTCAGCCAAAAAGCTCTATTCCGTAGCTTTTCACAGATTTCGTTTTCGTTTTTCTTAAAAAGGTTAATGAAAGGTACCTGAAAGCACAGCACAGGATCACCAACTTTGACCCTCTGACATTCTGAAGATTCTAAAGGAATTGATCGTTCCCGCACTGCCCTTCTCACATTCACCCACTCATCATCTGTATTACGAAACCCAGCAAATCTGACACGCACTTCCTGGATTGCAAATCAAAAATCAAAACCTTCAACAGATTGAGTGTTAGCATAACCAAGATTGAACATATAAGAAGTGTAAACTACTCTTACAACTTCACCAGAACAAACAACTCTGTAGTTGAGGAACGAAGCAACATCATACCTGGAAGCAAAAGATATATCTGTTACCCATGCTACTTTAATATAGAATTATAAAAAGCATAAAATGTTTACATTGACAAATTTATATTCACAAACAAACAAGCACTTAAAATAGATAAGTGTGCAGATATATATCGATATCACATCATCATAAAACCAGCATTCCAAGAAGAAAAAGGTAACTTCAAGTGTATTTGACATTTAGACACATTAACAACCAAAATATCACAATGTGAGATAAATCTGCAGAGGTTTATGAAGAAAGAAGAAAAACGGTGCATTTGTGTTATATAATTGAATCTTGTTTACCCAGTAATTGACATAATCAATGCACTTTATATATCCTTTCCATATTCCCAAATAGACGAATTTTGTTCGCCCAGTGATTAAATTTGGGCTTTATTCAACTTATTAAATATTTCGTGTAGATATGTTCTCCATGCTGCTACCAAAGAGGTCTTCAAAAATTGAAGAACGACAATTGGGAAAACTAGATCCATGAAACCTATTTTTTTTGCTTGTTTTATGATGGTGGAGCATGGGCATAGCATGAAAAATTGCACATTTTAATTTAAAGTATAGTTATTTTGGAATCTTTAAATTCACCTTTTCTTTTTCTACCAAACCAAGCAATATTCAAACTGGCATCTTCTGCTTCATTCAAATTTCGACTAGCCTGCCCAATTTCTAACCCACATTCTAAATTTTATTCTATTTGAAAAATTCTACCCTTTTTCTAAGAAAAAATAAATTATAATGAATGAATAAGAGACCAACACATGCATCTTATATCTCATTGGAAAACAAAGATTGACCTTTCAAGCAAATTAAAGAGACCAAAAAATTGACATAATCATGTTGTACTCCATAAATCTCATCTTTCAAAGTGTTAAAACTCAATTTGAGAAAAGTACAAAAGGATTCTTTTTCTTTCTATCTTTGTATTTTTATTAATTGTGACACCAAAGGCTTCCAAATGACATGTTTACGAATTACTGTACTTTTTCACTATACATACACATTTGGCATTTAAATACACACTCATGCATTTCTTTATAGAAAATGTATTCTCACCAAGCATTATCTTTTGAGGATAAAGCTTCAAAAATCAACTCTGAAAGATCAGAGGCCTTGCCTGTATAAGAATTGACAATGAAAATTACTAGATGCCATAACCTTTCTTAGAAAGAGAGGGAAGGTTTCCAAATTTTACAAATGCATGAAACAATTCTATCAACAACGCAGGCAAAGCACAGTAAGCAATACGCTAACTGAAAATTTATTTGATAGCAGGGCCTGTGTACAATGGTATATCATATAAAATCTTATATGAGGTTGAACCACGTTGCAATGCTTTTACCCATGATATAGATGGTCAGAGTTAAAAGCAAAAGCAGTATGCTTCAAATCAAAGGAAGAAAAAATTGACATGCACAGGGAAAACTCCCTACAGAAAAGAAGTTATTACTGAAAGCAAAGCATATAATAACCTCAATACAGTCAGAAGATCAGCTACTGAATCCTGCCAAACAAATGTTAGATAGCAGAATGGAAGCCACCCACACGCCTGAATGATTAGCCAGTCAATAAGAAATTACATTACATGACAGCTCACCTCTAAAAAGAGCAAGCCTTTGCCTGCTAAATATGAGTCTACACAAATAATATTGTCAGTGAGTCCCTCTAAAGAAGTTAGGCACCATGCAAAGTACATGTTCCAACCATTCTCACACAAGAACGATACAAAAGCAATTTGATTAGATTCTTGTCATGGACAATTCTAACGAAATATCAATCAGGATGAGGATAAGAGCCTGCTACTAAATAATAATTCATTCTATCCCAAAATGGTGCAGCACAGTTGCACTACTGTACCTCAATGGCTTATGGCCTGAGGTAAGAAAAAGAAAAACTATAGATGCATGCTTTGTTAAGTTATGGAGACTGATGTGGATGGAGGCCCATAGTATACGTCTACAAAATATTGGGCCAAGTGTATAGGCCCGCTAAGCCTTCTTTCATTATAACCCTAATTGTCTACACTATAAATAGAGACAACATCAATTGTATTTGTAGCCGTCACTTGATAAAACCTTAATAAGAAATCCTAGTGCAGCCGTGGAACAGGCACAATTGCCTAACCACATAAATCTCTATGTTCTGTGATTTTTCTTGTCCTTCTACTCTATTTTCTTGCTTGATTCGTTTCCTAACATGCTTATGCTTTATTCTTCTTAGATGCCCAAACCAGAATGCTATATTCACAGACATAATAATCATTATTATATGATTGGATGATGCTGTAACAGAAAGAAATCTAAAAGTATAGTTCCACCATTAAAGATATTTAAAAGTTTTAAAAGGAACGACCATCAAACAGAATATATCTACAACAATCTTCATCATAGTTCCACTAATGCAAGTTAAATGGAGAACCTCTGAGCTTTCGTGAATTCTCAGTTGCACCGAAAAAGGAGCTTGCATCGGAGAGATCAGCGAATAATTCAAGAGCCATATTTGAGGAAGCAGCTTTAGGTTGTGACTTCTTCAGTCTATCCTGGAACCATCTTTGCACCTAGACCACAGCAAGAGTAAGGCAAGAGTCACCAAGGAGATCAAGAAAGAAAAGAAATGCTTGGAAGGGAAAAAGATTAAGAAAAACCTGTTGAGGTGTAATAGCTTGCTTTCCGGAGCGACTTCGCCCGTAACTGAAAATGATACAGTAATCTTTCAAATAAAAAAGTTATTCTACAAAGGCCAGTACTTAAATACAACAATGCATGGATTCTTCCTATAAATTGAAGCGAGGGTATAGCAAGATTAGCCTAAAATAGAATTTACCCAAAGCCGCTTGCCAGCTTCTCACAAAACTGTGGAGCTAGTGCTTCCTCCCCTAATTCCTTGAAGATATTCTCCATTTCCAGCATCTTTCGCAAAATGCAAAAACAGTAAGCTAGTCATTCAGATAGCACGAATGAAATGATGAAAAAGAGTGAAACGAGAGATACATATTTTACCTGAGGAAGTGTGAATTCAAAATCCATGTCTGCGATGAAATAGGAACGAGGAGAGGGAGGGTTTTGCCTTGCCTTGCCTGGGTTTTTGGTTTCTTGTCTCCTCTGGATTTTGAGGCTTTTGTCCCTAAAGAGGGTTTTGCCGTTTTTAGTTTTTTAAACAATTTTCCTTTTTTAATCTCCGTGTTTGCTTACGAAGGAAGGGGCTGGCACCGAGCGAAATAAATTGGGCTACCCGAAGATCCGTCTTACTTGCAAGCACCCATTAAGGATATTTGAGCGCATTTATTATACTTCATTTATTATTAAATTGTGATAAAAAATATTGAAAAAAAATGATATTGATTAAGTATTATTTTATAAGGCAATTTTTGGAAGTATTTATCTTTAATAATTGTGATTATTACTTTTTTAATCAAAATTCTACTATTAAAATATACTTAATTTGACAGTTGTATATTTAATTAATTTTTTTTAATAAAATACGATTGTGTATTCAGTTTATTTTTTTAGTAAAATAAAGTTTAAATCTTAACGATTTTAATTTTTTTTGGTGATTATATAAAGGAGGATGTCTAATTTCTATTGCAGAATCCAAAAATCCATAAACATCCAATAAATTTACTAAAATATGTACTATAAAAGGAATTAATAGATTCAGTTAAATATTTAGGTGGCACGCATAGAATTTCACCAGAAAAAAATGGCTAATTAATGAAAATGTTATATAAGCAATACCAAAAATAGAAAAGAAGGAAAGGGAGAAGAAAAGGGAGAAAGAGACAGTGGCCACTGTTAAAATCAAAATCATTGAAATTATAAATTGGATAATTTTGCCATCAAATAAAAAAAGCATTTAATAATTTTCTTTCTTAATCTCTTTCTTTATTTATTCTTTTATATAAATTTTCTTTTGTTAAGTATCCAGAGGTAATTTGCTATCAAAGCATTTGAAATTCCAAAGAGGAAGACATTGAGACATAGACATTTTTTTATTCTGTATTAAATAAACATTTTTAACCCTCGTAATTTTTTTTTATTACTTTGATTATAAAGTCATCTACAATAATGGTAATTATTAACAAATCTTTATAAAAATAAAAAAAAATCCCATCTCTTATACTTTCATTTTAGAACAATTTTTTCTGCTTCCTATGTATTAAGAATCCTTGATCCAATATATGGCAGTTAGACATGCTATCATCTGTGGATATTATTAATTATTTAGCTAAAGAATAATTTGTTGTTACTTATATATATATATAAAGGCTAAACAAAGACATTTGTTAAAAGTCATTTAATGCTTAAAATTAATTAATATGTTTCTTTTTTGTAGATTTTATTGTAAAAATATTATTTTATATATTATATAATGTTTTTAATTAATATCATTAATTTTTATTTAGACATTTGATTTTATTCCTTTTCGAACACGGTTCAATAATAAATGGATTTTAATATTGTACTCAGATAATGTTTAGCTGGTGCTCGATAGCTTTTGTCAAAAAAAAACAAGAGAGGAGGTTGGAATAAAACAAAGAAGGAAAGAGGCAATGATACTTAATAAATTTAATTATTTGCAACAATTGTTATTTTTTAACATTTTGGCACTAGACTGAAGGAACTCCTATTGTCTTGAATAACAATTTTTTTTTTTTTTTTTTTTGTTCTACATTTACATATCATCTTCCAAGCTGAAAATATTATGCATTTATTAAAAAAAAAAAAAAAAACCCAGCACTTTAACACATTTTGGACAACTGAATTAATAAAATGAGATGTGTAAATAAGGAAAAAAAATTCATTCATAGAATTACTAAAGGAAAGGAACCTCCCAAATCTAACAACTTGAAACCAAGCCTAACTTAAAACCCATGTTTAAAAGTAAACCAAAAATCATAAATTTGAATTGAAAACTCAAAAAAAAAAAAAAAAAGAATCCAAAACCCTTAAGGCTTTAACCCAAACACAAACTTAAAACCAAAAATCCTTCAACCCAAAACCAAATAGGCCGAAATCCAAATAGCACTCCATATGAATGGTAAGCACAAACCCAATACCTATCAAACGATAACTGAATAGATGAGCCCAACAGCATTTTCTCGTCAAATAACAGTCCACAGTCCACATGATCACCCATTGAGAATTACTTCTCCCTAGCTTAATATACCAACAACAACAACAACAACAATGTGAATATGTATAGAGATGCTAGGTCTCACAAATTTTGTTACACCAAAAATCACAAACAAGAGACAGATAAGAAAACAGACACAAAAATTCTACAAAATTACACCACTCCTATTTTCTCTTGATTTGTGAATAATTAATTACTCGAATATGTATATTCATATTAGTTGAATGAATTTTGGAAGCATCAAAATTCCTTGTAAAAATAAACTAAGAAATGGCATACAAGAGTCAAAATTATAGCCAATATAGCTTGTTGGCCGAGGGAAACAGTCTTCCCCTTTCTGGTTATGGAGCTGCTACTAGTGGTGCTTGGAGGAGAATACAGAAAAGCCATCGCAATACTGTCCTCATCCTCACCTTTAAAGATTGGCCTTCCTAAAACATGCCTGTACTGGCCACCACTCCAAGCCTGTGTAAGGGAAGAGAGGGTATCAAACTATCAATATACAAATGGAAGAATATTATGGTACAACTTGTCATCATTTTCTTCATAAACTTGTTTATTTTACACTGTCTCCCATGGTATGATTAGACCCCATCCAGCTAGCTGTCATTGGAGACAAAAAGAAATATAATAATAAATCAAGTTACTGAATTGATCTTAAAGGTTATTTTCGTTCATGATGTTGAGGTTAATTTCCACACTTGCCTATCATTAATATCCAGGTTGTAAAGAGGGCATGTCTTCTTTTGATAACGTATACTATGAATCTTTTTAAGTTAAAACAAATTGATCTACAGAACCAAAAGCTAGTCTAATTACTCTACTCTTTTTAAGCAATTGATGTGACAGTCGGTAACTTATACCTGTGTTTGATCTCCAACTGTGACAATCAGTGCATCTTTATCTGGGCAGAAAGACACCCAGCCTTTCTTGGAGTACACATGAAATTCTGATGATCCATTACATATATTCAAGCACAAGGCATGAGAGTAATCAGTTCCCCTTATTAGCATTCTGATCACATCATATTCTGAGGAGCTAGCCCGTCGATCAGCCGGAATGTTACGTCTGTGCTTGTAAAGGCAACAGACTGAGCCAATGAGATCTTGCCTCTGCATCATATCATGTCCATACATCGATTTCCTAGCACAATTTTCGTGGAGAACTTGGAGAATTTTCGCAGCCACTTTCCCTATATCTGACGAAAAGGTCTCCATTTTCTTGCTGCGAATTATGAGAACTTGAGCGTAAGATTTTAGGTTTAACGTAAGTTTGTAACATACCAGTATTCATATTTGAAGAAATGATAAAGAAACAAAGATGCTGCAAAATCGAAGTAAATATGACGAAATGAAACATGCATCCCAGTGGCAACTCTGCACTCTCATGTTTTGTATCCATTTCTTTTACCTTGTCTAAAATTGGCACTGATATTGGGAGACTGAGACCAGCAGTCATTGTATAGCAAGAAAACGTTCATGAGTTCACCAAAAACATCTTCAAAGAAAAGGAACGAATATCGAATTAACAAGATCATCAGTACTTTTTTGCAGGTTAATTACCAAATTCAGAGATTAGTGTTAACCAAAAAACACGCAACATCGTTGAAGCATGCCTAACTTTTTAACAATAACGCAATGCAGCACTCGTATCAAATTGCGCATTGAAATTTTGAGTTCTTTAGTTTCCAGCTTAGAACCTTTCCGGTTGCAAATGCACTCGTGGACTTGATTTTTGAAAAGAGAAATAAAGAGAAACAAGAAATAATATTCAGGTACATTGAAATTTATTATATGTTTGATAGACAGGAAGAAGATTGCCAGTACTAAAAGAACTTGGAAGTAATAAAAAAAAAAAAATACAACAAGAACAGATAATGCCACTGTAAAAGAAGAACAAACTATGAAGATGGTTTTTCGGTTTGTCATTACCTGAAATTTGAATATTCAGTTGGCCATATTCCCTCCATATCCAGCTTCAAACTCTCATCTTTACACCACACAAACTCTTCACTTAATTCATTCTCGACCTCCTGATGATCGCCATGAACTTCCTCGAATCCATAAGGCTTCTCCAGTGACCTCGTCGCCGCCGCCTTCTTTTCGGGAGGCAGCTGAAAGATTCCGGCTGCCATGACCGACACCAACCTTATAAATTCACTTGGAATTCCAAAGTTAACTAGTTGAAAGCACCCAATTCTTGTTATTGAATCCAACATGTTGAGAACTGAATCACTTTCCCCAGAATTCAGTGATTGGCAATCAATTCTTGGGGGTGTTTCGACAATTTTCTCTCTTGGAAAGATCTTATCAGGTAAAATCAAATCCTGAACACGTAGTGAGTGCTCAAGAAATTCAGTTAGGACTTCATCATTGGCCACGGATGATCTTCGGCCAGAGGCTATAGGAGAGGGTGGCGGGGCACGAAAATCAATGGGATTTTCTGGCATGGATTCAGGTGAAACAGCCATCAAAATGGCACACTAGTTGCTGCTATGCTTAAGATGACCGATTAAGTTTGTTTACTTGATATGTGTACGAATTTCTCTTTTTTGTTCCTTTTTCTTTTTGAGTAAGGGAAAAAAAAGTCGTAAGCAGCAGCAATGATGGCATGTCATGTACATCGTAGACATTTAAAGAATCATAACTGGCATGGTTTAACTTTCTTTTTGTATACTTTTCTTTCTTTTTCCTTACTATCTTGCTTTATAACTTTCACTTTGATGTTTCATCTCTTTCATAGCTATTCAACTACCATTAGCCTGGCTGATGAGTGATGAGTGCTTCGTGTGTTACTAATCCGACCAAAAACATGGTTCATGCTGAACCAGTCTTTGGCCCAAGCGTTTAAACTGTAAAGACAGCATTCTACATCTTTCAAAAGTTGTAGGAATCAAAAAGTTGGCCTAGGCCTAAATAAATGCTACAGAATCAGGTTGTTTTTACGCAAACAGTTTTGCCCCAAAAAATTCAAGGAATGAGAAAAAGAAGAACAAGTCTCATGGTTTTGAGAAATTCGACAGCGAAATTTTAAAATTGAATGCGTCTATTTCAAACCCTTTGGCAATTGGGAGTATGTATCCTTACCATTTTCTCTAATAAGTCTTATCTAACGTGCACGCCAAATAGGAGAATCCTCTCCAAGTGGAGATTCGAACTTAAAAGACGGAAATTGAGGAGTAAATTATAAATTAGTCCCTCTAGTTTCAATAAATAAATTAATTAGTCCTTCTTTTCATTTCAAAAACTATTATATAATTATTTAATCAGTGTTGATCATGCTTAATTTAATATTATTTTTATTCTACAAAATATCTTATTTTCTTATCAATCTTATCATATTTTTTATAGTTTTTTTCTTTTTCTATTTTTTAAAATAAAAAATCAAAATAAATTAAAAAGGAGGCAAAAGGACTAAATTATAAGTAAATTTCAAATTATAAGGATTAAATGATTAGTTTTTAAAATTAAAGAGATTATTTAATTCATTTTTTATAACTAAAAGGATTAATTTTAATTTAACCCAAATTGAGAGGCAAGTGATAATTTCTTTTTGTCAAAAAAATAAAAAAATAAAAAAGAATACATATATAGCATTTAAGGGCTCAGGCCCAATGTATGAAATATTTCAAAATCATCCAAAAAGTGAAGGAAAAAAAAAACTAATTGAAATCAACAAAAATAAAAACAGAATATCAATGAAATTTTTTTTACTAAAAAAACATGATAAATCTTGAGAAGGTTAATTCCTCAATAAATTCTCAAATCTTACTAATTTTAATTCTCACTTAGCAACATTATCTTTCCTTTTTTCAATACTATAGTTAAATGAAAATCAAAATTCAAATTAATTTGACTCCCTCTTTTAATTTTATTTTTCATCTAAACTTTCACCATTTTGACCCCTCTCAACTATCATGTTCCTTTCTTTCTTTGATGTTGTCATCAAATAACACCTTTTGGTATGTGCAAATAACCATACTCTAGGTTGTTAAAATTATCCAATACTCAAAAGCTACCATTCCATTCACATGGAATTTCAATTTTTTTTTAGAATTTTTATTCAAGATTTTAATAAAACATTAGATTAAAAGTATAAAATGATATACTAGAGTGAAAGTGTATGAGAGGCAGCGTAGTTAACACTTTTTATTAAAAAAAAATTATTAATTTTTTTTCTTAATTTTATTCTTGTATTGTAGAAGAATTGCTAAATGGTGTTAATGAAAAAAAAATGCTGTTTTATTGAAAACAAATGTCTTTCTTAATAATTTTTTTCATTTTCAATTTTTTTATTCTTGTATTCTAGATATATTGAGATATTTCTTAAATTTTGAAGATGGAATTAAAATTTACATATAGCAATATAAATTAAAAAAAATATGAAGTCTAATCAAAATAAATTAAAAGTTTTAAATGAAATTAAAAAAAAATACATAAATCTCAGCCGAGCAAATTGAAATTTACCTTTATTTTTATTGGTATAATATATTTGTAACCATTTGAAAAAGAAAAGAAAAGAAAAAGATGTGACTACTATCAAGCCATTCCTTGACGATAGTTCAATATATGGGAAAATAATTAAATTAAAAAATTAAAAATGCCACACCTCTCTTCCACACAAAGAGACAGGATGTGTTCATTGTTTTCCATAAATTCTTCACTATATTTTCATAAGTACATATACCTTTAACTAGTAAGTAATTGATCACTTAGATTATAGTGATCATTACCTGTTGTTTTATTTAAACAAGTGTGAGTGATCTTGCTACCTACAGGTTGAACTTGTGGGCAAGAGCAAGCATCGACGGACTGCAAAAAGAAACCACTGATGATAAATATTGTCTAGGCGGTTTACATATCAAAGGGCGCTCCTATATTTGGTGGGCCTTGCGCAGTGAGACCCGATGGTCCTCAAATTTAGGTTTAAAGGTGAGGTTGGGCTAACGAATCATTCTGGACTTCATCCCGGAAAAAAATAAAAGATATTTTTTTTTCATTAGCTTCAATTTCAAGCTAATTAAAAAGAAGATTATTTTAACCTGAACGTCTCAAGTTTGAGTTTTATTAGACAGGTGGTATATTTACGTTATATTCGTTTAATTTATGAAGATATCTAAATTTTGATTATATATGATGGGGATTTTTTTTTACATATATATTGTTGTGAAATATCAAATTAAAAAAAAAAAAAAAACCATACAATAACGTGAAATTCAAATAATATTTCTAAATGAACAAACAACATCATTTAATAAAAAAATTGAATTAATCTCTTTCTCGTTTAAAGAAATAAATTAATTAGTCTCTTTCATTTTAAAAATTAATCATTTAATCTTTTACCGTTTAAGTTTTTTTTTGAATCTTTCAAATTAATACAGAATATCTAAAATATTTTTTTAACATATATACCCATTTATAAAAAATATGTTTTCATACTTGAGAAGATAGAAATAGAATGAAAATTAATAAAATGAGAAATTAAGATTTGAGGAGAAAAATAAAAATTTGTTTCAGTGGTTGATGATAATTTGAAAATAAAAAATATTACAATAAGAATACATCATCGCCCCTATAACAAAAAACCGACAAAGGACTAGGTTGATGATTGAGTTAGGCGTGAGAGATTAAATAATTAATTTTTAAGAATAAAAGAATTAATTTATTTATTTGTCAAAACAAGAGGGATTAATTCGTAATTTACTCATTGTATACTCTTTTGAAAATTACACCACTTGATGTGCTTTTTTTTCACTTTACGCCATGTTTTTTTAATCCGCGTCAATCTCTGAAAAAAAAAAAAAAAACCAAATATATATATACCCTTTTGTAGATATCGAATACAGACGCGTGATCGGGATTATCCTGATTAACAATAAACCACACAAAAACCCAATCTAAATCAGATGATGCTTTCGGACAGATCGGGCGAAATGATAATTCTCAATACAAATTAAAATATTCATACTTTTGAAAATGTTTTTGATTCCTTTGCTGTTACAGTAAAAAGAAAGAAGAAGAAGAAAAGATGTGACCGTTGATACGTGGGTTTGTCAAACTCTATTATTACAAGCTGACGACCTTAATTAACAAAAATGGAAGTTTCGTTTTTTTTTTTTTCAGAAATATTAATCGTAGATAAAAATTGGGGCTTTTTTTAATTAATTTTTTCCCCTTAACTAACTAATTCCCCTCCATTCACCCCCTTCCCAACGATTTTTGTGAATTTCTGAAGAAAAGTCAACAAATTCAAGATAATAGCCCTTATTAAGCCTCTTAATTCAAAATATTTATAGAGTATCAATTTTGGAAGGTGAGTGTGTAAAGCATCATAACGTTTGAACTATATATATAATATAATGCTTTTATTTTTTATCGTCGTTGTTTTATTTTAATTAACCTGACGCATTAACAAATCAAAGTAGCACTTGAAATGGAGAACGCTGTGATCATAACCCGCTAGGAGAGTATGTCAAGTCTAAATGTGGAATTAAGAAGTCGCTTATTAATTAGTATCAAACCATTAACTAAATATTTTAACCCTTGCAAGTACAAATGATAAAAAAATATTCAGTTGACGTGTGTGTTTTGTGACTAGAAATTTTCTATTATACCTACTCAGATGTGATAAAGCGGATGGGATGATATATGGAAAAATCGTGGACATGAAATTCGGAAAGGTCAAACGATACCCAATCTGCTAATGTTGGAAATGGTAACATACTATCGTGTCAGCTTCTTCTCGGAAAAAAAAAAAAGCGTTAAACGTGTTTCTCTAACCTTCGGAAGGAAGAAAACGGATGTGAAATACAATGATAATGATGTCCTTAGAAAATAAGGAGGCTGCATGTTTGCGTTTCTGTTTCTGGAAGCAACCATATCTAAAGTGCCTTTACAATGATTTTTGGGATGAAACTTGAAAGCAACGACCAATCCATCTATTCTGATCGTGTCTTGAAATTTATCTAACCTTACGAAGTTCTTTACACGCTGTGGGTATATTTGGTATTAGGGTTAAGTATAGTTGAAAATATGGTTAAAATGCGAAAAATATTAATTTTATATCTTTTCAATCGAATCACATTTTCTACTGCATTACCAAATACATACTGTTATGATGACATATTTAACAAATAAGAAACTGATTTAATACTACTAAATTTTCATTTTATCTGTGGCGTTTCTCTATTTGGATTGCTAATGTCAGAGAAATAGATGAAATTTTGAGTGTCAATACTATTATGGATCTTTAGTTCCTTAATTAGAGACATAGAGTATTTTACATGACAGCTCGATATATGGAGTAAAATTATAACTTAATATTTATAGTTTAACAAAACTAATTAATTAATATTCGTGGTTTTATAAACTATATATTTTATCTCTATACTTTTCAATTTGTTTATAATAAAAAAAATTATTCAGAAAACAATTAATGTTTGAAAAACTATGTATTTCCTAAATCTATTGG